TAAACTTTTAAAGTTTCTGTGTGGTGGTAATAAAATAAAATAGGATAGTTTTGACCGCCTCTCTTTGCCTTACAATCTGCTGTTGTTTCTACGTAAAGAACTGTGTGTGAGGCCATTAAAATACTGCTGCCACCTCTGTGTCTTTGCTATTTATTAATATCAAACCCTGATATAGTTCACATTTAATGCATCAGTTTTGTGGAAATGCACTTGATGTACACTTTTCCCATGGCCCAAAGTGTCAGGAGGACCCCTGGCCTTCACTTGCAAAATGTCAAATTAACACGTAGCAACAAGGAAGAGACTCAAAATGACCAGAAAAAGATTCCAAGAGGCTGCAAAGAGACACAAAGTGACTACAACAATAAGCAAAACAACCACAAAGAGACACAAAACAACCAAAAAAGGGATGCAAAATTACCTGAGATAGACAGAACTACCTCAATGAGATAGAAAATGAGACCCAACAGACTAAAAAAAGACACAAAACAACCAACACAAGATGACTAGAGACACAAAATGACAAAAAAGACATACCATGATATACCAAAGATACAAAACAACCAAAAAAAGATGCAAAATTACCTCAAAGAGACACAAAATTACTCCAGAGACCCAAATGACTACAAAGAGACACAGAACAACCACAACCCCCAAAATTCACCAGGGTCCATTGCACCACACCAGTCCAGTTTTTGGCGACAGTGTTAGGGTTAGACATTTAACAATTTACACTGTATCATGTTGTGAACTATTCACCTACATGCTTTAATAATTGTATTACTCCTCTCAGCTCCTGAGCGTATGCTTTTAAGTCATCTCTTTGCCTCTGCCAAAGTGGTATGGAGGTTTTGTTTTTCGGTTCGGCTTGTTTGTCAGTAGGATTATGGAAAAACTACTTGCCTGATTTTCATGACACCTGTGGCATGAGCCAAGGAAGAACCCATTACATTTTGGAGTGAATGGAAGTCATGGGGCGGATACTCAAATTATTCTTCACTTTTATTGACATTGTGAGATAGGGCATTTGGCTGTGGCAGAGGTCTGCGCTGTCTGAGTGCCCTTTGAGCTCTAACTGTAATGCGTCATGGTGGATCCTAACATGGAAGTGAAACCATCTGTGCTCTGATAAACTCACTAGAATACAGCTGAGTCCATTTCATTTGATTGATGATGATTTGACACCATTTTTGATTTTTCACTTCTTTCCTAGTCCATCTATCATAACGACTCATGTTGTTTTTTATATGAGTTTAATACATGTCTTGGATGAGTCACACAGTTTTCTCTTAAAATTATAACAATGCAATGGGTATCCACTTATAATAAACAACTGTTTTAATTAGAAACTGTTGCATGAAGACTTGACAGGCTTATAAATGATGAAACACACATAATGTAAAGTAATGTTTAATGTTACTTTACAGTAGTGTGAATTAACAGAAGTGAATATTTTCTAAGTTGGACGAACTCCAGCAAGGCAAATTTAAGTTCAATCATCTAACTCAAAGTGCATTTAAGTTTTTTGCTTTGAAATTTAGACTTTTTTTTCACGTTTTCCTTTTTTACAGTTCAAATTTAAGTTTTGATGAAGTGTTCTTGAGCAAGACATTGAACTCCTCCCTCATTGCTTGCTGTGTGGCTGAGAGCAGCAGCTACTGTAAATGCTTCAAACAGGCATGTTTATGCTTTAAAATTAATATTTCATCAGGTGATGTCAGGTAATTTGAGACAGAAGGTAAAATAGGATAAAAAGGGTTACATCTTGGGCTCTTTAGATATTAGCATCCACTCACCAAACATGTCATTGCATTGTTATTTCAAGAGTGCTTTGCATTAACCAGTAATTAGGGGCCAGGCAGCCTAAGCTGCCAGGATCCTATTGTTATCCTGCATGTTCATCTTCTTCTTCTTCTTCTTCTTCTTCTTCTTCTTCTTCTTCTTCTTCCGAGGAAATCCTACTTCCCATGCGCGAAAAATCACCAAACTTTGCACAACGGTCCAGTCCCATGCCAGATTGCCAGGCCAATAACAGGCCAATAATCCTGATGGTGGCGCTACAGCAAGCCTCTAAAGTTCAAAATTTTGAAAATTCACAACAAATCAACCATATGTGCTACAGATTTGCAACTGTTTTACAAAAACTGTAAAACCTATTAAACCTATCTCCTAACACAATTTTTGTTCAATTGACACCAAACTTGCTACAGAGCATCTTCAGACTGTCCTACACAAACTATGTTTCTCAGATTTTTGATTTATTGAAAACTGAGCCTACAGTGCATCAAAATGTTTGACTGTAAAAGGTATTGTAAACATATATGTGCAAATTCTTGCTAAATATATTTTCAATGTTCATTAAAAAAATTTTGGAGTCACGGTAGATGATGTTTGGAAAATATCAGAATTTTATCTCAAAAACTGAATTTTTTACAGCATTTTGAATTTCACTCTCATGTGAACAATTGAAGTCAATGCAAAAATGGCATTTTTAAACATCAGTTTTTCACTTATGGAGCCAATAAATCATTGTTAAAAACAAATCACCAACATCTCCATTCTGTCTAGATGCAATATGTGTATTTTCGGATTTTTGTCTTAATAACTGAATTTTGACAGCCGTTTGAAATCTGCCTTTACACACTAACAGCTGCTGTCTTGCACACAGGTGACTGGCTTAGTCAATTTGTGAAGCTACATGTGACATGTCTGTTTGCCAGTTAGCTCAGTGAGATAGAGGATGGTTCTTGGTGTTGAAGACTGTGAGTTCAAGCCTCAGCTTGTGCAATGTTTCCATATGAGAAATCTACCCAAATTTTTCATAAATGTCCAGTCCCATGCCAGATGTCCTCAACTGGAAACACAAGACAATAGTCCTGATGGTGGCGCTACAGCAAGCCTCTAAATTTCAAAACTTTGAAAATTCATAACAAATCAACCATATGTGCTTTGGAACTTTCACATAGAAATTTGCTTTTCCATGGCATGGATGGCTACTGTCTGGCACCCTGATGCTTGGCTTAGTCAATTTGTGAAGCCACACATGAACTGTCACTTGCCGATTAGCTCAGTGAGATAGAAGATGGACCTCAGTCTAATCAATCTCATAATTATATGGTGTAACTTCTAGGTTGTGATATGCTTTGTTTTAGTGTGTGTGTATTACATTTTTCACATGGGTTTTTACGTATACCACACATTCAGTGTTTTATAATGAAATAGATTATGACTTCTTAAGAAAGGGACCACTGAGCTGCTGGTTTAGTGCTGGGTCAGACATCAGTGTTTAACAATGTTATTGAAGCTACAGGGAACAGAATAACAAACATATTTATATAAAAGAAACATCAGTATGGGATTTAGAAAGAGTAATTTGGCTGTGTTGTTTTGAGACCAACAACAGGACACACTAGAGTTTTAGTTTAATGAGAATTTAAACTGCACATAGGGCCTAACATTTCCCAATAATGGTACAAGTGGTTTTTTTCTCTGCTTGGCCTAATTTTATTTTATTTGTGCAGTTTTGCTGCTGAAAGGTAATGTTGATTTCCTTTTAAAATGAAGCTGTAATGGTGCATTTACAATTTTACAAAAAGGCCTATCTCTGCTATGAATCATTTCATTATTGATTAGCATTCCAGTTATTTTCTATATTAAATGTTTGTCTATAAAATTATGTAAAATTCATATTACCTTTCCCCAATTCCAATCTGGCATCCACAAACATCTCACTTTGTCTGACTAAAGGTCCAAAGCCATGATAAAGCAAGATTTGAGGAGGATATCCTCAAATCTGTGAAGGTAACTCCAACACTGATGCCTGAAACAATCAATCCATCTTGAAATAGTTGTGGATTAATGTTTATTATGTGTTTGACATATTGATTTATTGACTAATCATTGCAGCTGTAGAATTCCTATAATGAGCTAGAAGAAGTTTTAAACATATCTACTGCAGAGTTGTCTCCTGCTAATAGCTCAGTGAGATAGAGCATAGTCTCTTATGCTTAGAATTACACCTTTTTTCATCTTCCTACACTCTGCTTGTTGCTCAATGCAACAATGCCTAATTTTGGCTAAAATTGCCCGGCCCCGACCATTGCTGCGCAATGATTGGTCATTATTATTGGTCATTGATTGGTCTCAGATAACTAGGACAGGCAAAGCAAAGAGTCAAAACAATTCGGCGAATGAATATTAAAACACAACCTTTGAGGGAATCCCTCTACGTCCTTCATGGGACCAATATGCATGACGATTTCCCTTATTAGTCTCTGAACAGCAACGTTATGGTTGAACAACAAGTTTTACTGTAGCCATAAAATTTGCGATCGCCGCCGTTCTACTTTTTGTCCAAAACAATAAATGAAAAAATGAATCTGTGAAAAAACAAAATCGGGCTGTTATTTGAATTTGGTTTTGTCATTTTTCGTTTTTTAATTCTGACAACAAAAACGGAAAAACGGCTCCATTTTCTCGTTTTTTCGTTTTAAACCAAAAAGGAAAAAACGGGAAAACCACGGTATTTCCGTTTTTTTCGTTTTTGGTTTAAAACGAAAAAACGAACTGCCTGAAGGTACCCTGACCTTAAGGTAGTCTTAAGATATTTTGGTGGTTTTCTTGTAGTCTTAAAGTGTCCTAAATGACCTGACTTCATCCTGCTTTTTTAACTTTCTGTTCATATTTTGGTGCAATTTTCCAAATACTGTGTCAGTTGCATCGACTTGAGCACATATAGGCTACAGTATTTACCAGCTCTGGTAAACCATCGTGCCACTTTGTGTTTTGTTTTGTATACGTGTGTTTTAAAAACATGTTTTAGTTGGTGTGCCACAGACTAGCCTATATAATATGGAGGAAATTAATTTTGCAAGAGTATTTTTCCTTTCCAGAGGGAGGCAGTAATGCAATATATAGGATGTCAGCTGTCGTGAAATCCCAAAGAAGAAGAACTCGCCTACCCACAATCCCTTGCCTCTTTCCGGTTCCAACCATTCGAGACCTAAGATGGCGGACCGGCGGCGAAGGAGGAGGCGCGCGTCCCAGGACAGCGAGGACGACGACGAGTCCGGTTCGGGTTCGGACAGCGGGAGGTCGGGGTCCCCGGCGACCAGTAAGGGCCGAGTGAGGGATCCCGAACCGCCGGTGGTGACAGCGGCCCGACCCGAGGCGAAGAGCGAGTCCGAGTGTGTGAGTAGCTAGCTGGCGTTAGCTCGCCGAGCTGACGGCTTCGTCTCCCGGCCGGGAGCTGTGACAGATACCGCTGGCATTAAAACTTTTTTTCCGGGGCCGAGTGCTGCCGTTGGTTTGCTGTTACCTTTGGGGATTTAACAGTTGAGAATTAAAAAAAATAGAACCGTTTGACTCTTGACTTACACAGCTTGATGTTCCTTCAGTAGGCGGCGTTAGCTTGAATTAAACAGACAAATTCGCTGTTTAATCGTCATTTCTCTCTAAACTTGAGAGCTTTGAAATGTATACCTTAAGTATATGTTGTACTCAATTCGCTGCTTTATTGTTGACCGTCCAAGTAGTCAATTATATTGTCTTTGTGTCCCCTGTTGTGAAACGGAGACGAAAAGGCGCCAGTTGGAACGCATTTACTGGGGCAACAAATGTGGCCCCAACACCAGCTGCCCTTCATTTCGTTGCATGACTGGAGGCTTTTTTAACTGAACATCAGAAGCTCCAAATTCTCTTGTTAACCAGCTAGAAAAGAGTAGTTTACACCCATGGCTGGGAGGCAGGTAGGGTTTGTCGTTTAGCATCCCAGCTAGGCCCGCTAATGCCACCGCTCCGCCGCCACTCTGCCACGTCCAGCAGTAACGTTAACTTTGCACATAAATGACCGTTGAATGTTTGGTACTTACGGGCAGTGGTGGAGGAAGTAGGCAGATCGTTTATTGAAGTAAAAGAACCAATTGTAAAAATACAGGGGAAATCCCCGCAATGAAAATGTAACGTATATGCAAGTATGTAGGTATAATCAGGAAAAACTAGTTAAAGCATAAACATCAGAAAAATGTCCCCTGTGACTGTTCTGCCATCATGTTTTACACCATTAGATAATAATGACTCATTAATGCATGTAAAAGCAGAATGTTACTGGTGCTCACTACTACTGAGCTACTGAGCTCATTTGAACTAGTAATTAATGATTATTTTTTTTATTATGGACTAAGTGTTAACTATTTTCTCCATTAATTGATTGATTGCTTGGTTTGTGAAAATAGTGACAACAGTGAGAAATTCTGGCACAATAACCCTGACCCCAAAGTGACACTTTACAATGTTTGTTTTTTCCAACCAACAGTTCAGACCTCAACATTCCAAAACAATAAACATAAAAAAAATACATAAACTTAAAATATGTTGTGGGCTACCCCACCCTACCCCAATATAATAATGATGGAGGAAACACTGTCTTTAATCCTGTTCAATATTTAGTTTCAACCAGATGATGATCATGCCGTCAGACAGTCAACAGCGCTTTGTGAAAAATCACAACCCTCTAATTTTTGTCAGTGCAATTGTAGTGACACTACAAAGGTGCCTTAGCAGAGACCCTGGCAAAAAAGAAAAAGATCTTGTGGTTTTTTTAGAATCTAGTGTAGAGGAGGAAGAGAAGTCTTTGTGATACGAGTATTATAAATGTCTGTGAAGTGTTTTGGTGTTTGATAAACCTTCAAACTCTCAGTTCTTTTACTCAGACTGGACCTCCTCGATCACATTTTCACTATTTCACCTGTTAATGAAACATGTTCCCTCCAACGCTGCTTGTTGTGGTGTGTGGGAGAGAGTGTCTGTGTTTTTGGGTTGCAGCAGTACCGGTTTAAGGTATACTGAATGAAAAGTGACGGTTGTCATACCATGTACATTTGCTCATTTACTGTATCAACAAAAAAAACAGCTTTCACTAGATGAAAAATCTCACCTGCATGTACACATCTCTTTTCTTTCTTAACACTAACACAGTTCTTATTTAAAATGGTTTGAAGTTACAGCAAAGCATTTGTTTAACCAGATAATCCTTTTTCATTCCTGTAAAGGTCATTGTTACAGATAATAATAATAATGTAATACTGTGAAAATCTCATACCGTTGCAGCTCTTGTATGTGTATGTTTTTAAGGCAGTCCTGTTTTTATTTACTTAGTGAAGTTTACTTCTTCAAGGACTGCCTCAGTTTAAAATCCTGCCCCATTTGGACAATCGGAGGAGTCACAGGAATGACTGGTATTATCAGTATGCACTCGTGAATTCTTAAAAGGCCTTCAGCAAAGTTTCGAGTCACTCATATGAAGCATCTTATTGCCCTGCAGGGGGAAGAGAGTTTTTAGCAGTTCTCAGTGTTACTGTGTGAAATTGTTGTTGTTAGAGCTTGTTGTGCCTTCTGGAGATTTAATAGTTTCTAGGCAATGCTAATGTTCTTTTCTTTTTGCAGGAGAGTGAAGATGGTGTAGGAGAAGGTAAGACATTTATAAGTTCATTACTATATTTAGCACACAACTGCATCCTTGTAAAATAAAACCGGCTCACACCAGGAGCATCAAAGTGAATTATAAGACATTAATTACAGTTTACTTTTAGTAAGACATCAATATAACAGACTGAGGCTCACACCCAGCTTGTAAAACATGATCACCTCATGATATATTTGTTCTGTTAATGAGTGACTGGTTTGAGGGCATTTGCTGAATAACTGAAGAAGTTAACTATATCAAATAATACAACTTTCTTTTTGTCCGTCTGTTTTGTCCAGCTGTCCTCTCTGACTACGACAGTGCCGATCCAGAAGAAAATGGCTCCCATTCAGAGGTAAAAGACCTCAGCTGTAAGCAGCTCCAACTGGTTAAACTGGCATCCATTAGCAACAACAAAAACAACAGTGCTGTAAAACCTAAAGAACATCCTGCACTTTCAGTAAGATGTACAATCCCAGTTTCAAAAAAGTTGAGATGCTGTGTAAAACATTAGTGAAATCAGAATGCAATGATTTTCAAATCCTTTTTGACTTACATCCCATTGAATACAAAGACAAGATGTTTATTGTTAAAATTGATAAATGTTCTTGTTTTTTGTAAACATACACTCATTCTGAATTTGATGTCTGCAACATGTTCCAAAAAAGTTGGGACAGGGGCAGCCAAAAAAAAAACCCACCTGTTTGTAACATTTCACAAGTGAACAGATTAATTGGTAACAGATTTAAGTATCATGATGGGGTTTAAAAGGGGCATCCTCGAAAAGCTCAGTCAGTTGCAAGAAATATATGAATATCACCATCTACAATCCACAATGTCACAAAAAGATTCAGAGAATCTGGAGAAATCTTTACCCCCAGGTGACATGGCTGAACCAACACAGAATGCCCGTGACCTTTGACTCCTCAGGGGGCAGTGCATCAAAAACCAACCAACTTTTTGGAAAACCAAGAAGCAGTGTTGTGAAGGTCTTCACTTGTATCAGCGCTCTGGGACTACTCGTTCACTGTTGCTAATGTTACCATTTTGCCAACAATTTCAACATAAGTTGAGCTCCTCAGCCAAAAAGCCAGCCAACTGGAGGTGCAGCCTATTGAGCTCTCATTACATCATGAGGTGGAGCTCTCAAGATGGGTGCTATCATTTCGTTTACTATAGCATCACCCGAATGTGTCTATTAGTGGAACGAGACAAGAACCGACCGGAAGAGGAGTCCCTCTCCTAGCAGCGTTCAGGCAGTCTCCCACTGCAGATTCAGACTGTGCCGAAGTAATAAATAATGCCATGTACTGTTAAACTACATATTCCTGTGTTCCCTCAGGGAGTTGAGGAGGAAGAGGAGGTTGAACAGTACAGTGATGAAGAAGCTCCAGCAGCAGCCAGCGAGCCCAAACCCTCGGCAGACGAAAGCTCAACAAAGGTAGAAGAGGTGGTGGAGGATGAGGAGGATGAAGAGAAGGAGGCAGAGAGGGAGGGAGGTGGAAGGAGTAAAGAGGAGAGCAAGGCAGAGGAGAAAGGAAACCTTGCTGGAGAGAGACAGAGCGGTGATGGACAGGTGAGGCTTACTGTACCTCTGTAAAAACCACAGGTGTGACTTCATTAGATTTATGGTTGGGTACCAAACTCAGCAACTTTGAGAGTACAGACTGGATTACATTGGTACTACTGAGTGCGGATTTATGTTAAATCCATTGGTGCCAAATGTCAGTACCTGAGAGGGCATCTGGGTAAGAATCCCATGGGAGGTGCCACGAAACGTTCTGAAGCCTAAAAAACAGGCTGTGGAGCTCTGAGGCTGGTGATGGAGCTCCGCTGAGCTGCCAGGTTCAACTTTAAACAGGAGGTGGAAGTGCCCCATTGAATGTAGATTATTCTGCCTCTGAAAAAAGTCCACAGCAAATGTGATTTTTTTCCCCCCTTTCTGTTTGATAAAAACGACATGAAATTACTGACCCTTTTTCAAAAGTGAAACTACACATTTGTAAACACATTGCCAAACAAAATGAAAAGATTAAATTTGCTTTTATGCCTGATTTCTCTGAATTATGTCTTAAATCAGAAGTAGAACACTATGTTAAACCAAACATATATGATGAACAAACATGCAGCCAGTGATAGTAACATTATGATGAACAAAATACTTGTACAACAGTTGAATATTACAAACACATCACTTCAGTGCATCAATGTAATCGCTTGTTTCCACATTTAGTGTTTGACTTACACAGGAACACATGTCTTTGATGCTTTTAGGTTGTACAAAGTCCTCTTTACAAATAGATGTTACTTTGTATACAGGGTTTGTTTTGTACATGGAGTACAAATTGTTTTACAGTGTTTTAACCAGACTGACAACTGAAAGGACAGAGACAGACAAAGATCCCTCTGAGCAACAGTTCAATAAGAAGAGAAGAAATCACCAGTCACTGATAAAAGCAACTGGAAGCTTAGCCCTGTGTACTGTACTGTACACAGTACTGACTGGTAACAAGTCACAAGGAATAGCCGATCAAATCTGAAGGCTGCTTTGCTACAGACAGGCTCTAACTGCTCTGGTGACTGAGCAGAGTTTATAGATTAAGTAGCACTTTACTTCTTATGAAAGCTCTTGTCCAACTAATTAGGATTTGGTTGGACAAGAGCATATCTATCAAGCAATGCAAAAACCAACCAGAGGACGTTAGCCCCACCACAGACTGACAAATCACATTTTTTATGTCTGAATTAAACAATTTTATCTCTGTTAAAGTAGTTATTATTAAAGGAAAGAAGAAAAATGTCAATAGAACAGCTGATTCAACACTTACCGACTGTAGTGCCCATATAATGTACATAATAGTATTTATGAACATCTCATAGGCTGGAATGACTACTGATAATTTGGTCACCTTTTTAGCTTACAGTGAAATAGGGCTGTACAAAACTTAATTCACAAACCACTCGTATGTACATTTGTAGTTACAGCTGAACAGTTTCTGCCACCATTCTCTTGTTTTGTGTTCTAACTGACTTAAACTCAAACACACAACCAGGAGTCTACAGACGACCCTGAGACAAAGGCGGGAGGAAAACCAGGTCAGAAGCTCGACGATGACGAGGACAGAAAGAACCCGGCCTACATCCCAAGGAAGGGTCTGTTCTTCGAGCACGATGTCAGAGGGCATGCTCAGGAAGAGGAGAGGTGTGTTTTTATCTAGTAGTAGTAGTAGTAGTAGTAGTAGTAGGATTAGTATGTTAGATAATGCTTTCTTGAAATTAAGTTTGGTCAAGAGGATGCAAGGTACCCAAAATATAAGAAGAATTGGGAGACAACTGTTAAAATTTGGAAATACCACATATTAATATTTTTCAATATTGATTGATGGCACTTCACAGCTCAAACGGCTGGTAACCATGTAGAGCACAAGACAGTGGAGATTTTCAGTGGCATACAGTGTTTTAATTAATTGTGTCTCTCTGTCTGTGTCCTCTCAGACCTAAAGGTAGAAACAGGAAGTTGTGGAAGGACGAGGGTCGCTGGGAGCATGACAAGTTCAGGGAGGAGGAGCAGGCGCCGAAGAGCCGCGAAGAGCTTATTGCAATCTACGGCTATGACATCAGAAATGGTGGTGGCTCCGGAGACCGACCATACCGGCAGCGCAGGCCGAGGTGAGCACTGCCTTAACCGAGAATAAAGATATGTAGAAAGAAAAGAAAGAGGGAATTTGAGTTTAATCTGTTATGTGAACGTCTCTTTGTCTTTCTGCAGACAAAATACATCTCCCAGCAGAGACAAGCGGTGGAGAGATGGAGGAGGAGAGCGACCGGTCCGATCATGGCAGAGTGGAGGAGGAGGTCTAAACCGAGGAGGAACTCCACCTTCATCAAACCACCCCTCCTCTACATCCCCCTCCTCTGTTCCTCTTTCCTCTGCTCAGCGCGGCAGCAATCCCTCCAGACCACCTCCCTCTCGCAGCAGACCATCCCACCAGAATCAAATGCACCTTCCGCCTCAGTCACAGTACAGGAATAATGAATCAAACACACCCCAGATGCACCCTAGGGAACGACAGGGCCCTAAAGCTCAGTCTGACCCTACAGGAGACAGGGGTGGGGTCAGCAGGGGAGGACGTGGTGGTGGTGGTGGTGGTGGTGGTGGTGGGGGAAGGGGGCCTTCTGTGGTCATTGAGGATATTGCAGTCAGCCAAGGAGGCGTTAGGGAACAGGACCTAAGTGTTGTAACGACAGCGGCATCATCGCAGCCAGACGGTTACCAGTCTACATCACCAAGACGACAGCAGCAAGAACAGCGAGGGAGCGCTGATAGATCTGCGGCAGGATCAGTTGCTCCCTCCTCCACCTCTGACCCCTCCCTTCAATCATCAGCGACCAATCGGGAAGCCTCTCCTCCCACCGAGCGGCCGGTGGAGCGTAAATCTTACTCTCTGGCACGCAGGACTCGCTCTCGGCCCGCTGACCTGGGCAGCAAACAGCCATCTATGGAAGAGTCTGCAGCTGGAGGGAACACCTCCTCCCCAGGCAGCGTGGCGGGGAAGAGCTGGGCAGGAGCAAGCGATGGGCCGAGTCAGGCGGGTGGAGGAGGTGGAGGGCTGACAGAGCTGGACCAGGATGTGGCTCGACTCAGTCTGGTTGGACAGAGCTGGAGCCAGAGCCCATCATCCTACATGCGGTCTGAGATGAGAGGTGAGTGGAGATGATCTTCATAGTTTAACTCACACTGAGATTCACATCTGCTTTATATTTTTTTTCTCTGATGGTCATTAACACCTGATTGTAACATTAACAACAAGGTCCCAATCTAGTGCTGTGGACCTTTAGTATTACTGAGTCTGATCCTAAACTTGTATTCGGGGTGTAGGCTTCAGTGCGAGTTTGGTACAGCGGAATCCAAACCAAATGCATAAGGATCTGTTTCTTTTTTTGACAGACAGTAGTGCAATTGTGAAAGACAGACACAGTCCTCCCCCTCTGGACAGAGGTAGCATTTTGTCCACTGGAAACTTTGGCAAATTATTTTCATTATTAAAACAAGTAACATTTCAAAAACTTTGGTATTACACTGTACCAACACTAAACAAACCCAAAAGGCAACAGGTCACATCGGGCTATAAAACTGACAAGCATCTCTAATGCTTTGAAAATAAAAATACTAAATACTTTTCTTGTCCCAGTGGTTGCCACACCTGGGAGATGCTGTCAAAAGAGCATTAGCATTGTTGGATGTGTTTCCATTCACAGATCCCAGGTTTTCAGATTAACCATGACCCGATGGCCTGTGGCCAGAGAAAGTTACTCACAAAGTATCCCCCAGGAGGCCCCATTGTAGCCCCTAAGTTTTATCAGGTCTCTCCTGAGAATGAGCCTGTGTGTCCCATTGAGATAACCTGCCTAAATAAAGATGAATGAATTTGAAATAATCTGCATATTACTGTTGTGCTGGTGTAAAACTTTTCAGAACAGTTTGACATTAAGAGCTGGACCAAGACCAGATCGATGTACAGAATTTTACACACTTGACTCAGCAGCTGCTCCCTACTGGAACATAAGGATACCATCTTCAAACAGCAAACACACGTCCAACTAATACCATGTTGCATTGCGTCACACTGGAGCTCTCTGCCCACACTGAATACAAATATACATACTGAACTTCTATCATGTAGTGTTGTCACGGTACCAAAATTGGGACCCACGGTACGATACCAGTGAAAGTATCACAGTTCTGAGTAGTATCACAATACCACAGCAAAAATGAGGCAGATGTGCCTTTTGTCATTTATAAAAAGATAAATCACTTCTCCATAATATATATATATATGTGTATATATATATTTCAATGGAATAAATCACTTATTTTTTTTTTTAATTTAATTTTATATACTTTATTAATCCCCGAGGGGAAATTCAATTCAATTTTTCACTCTGTTTGTCAATTACACACAGGTCCGAATACACACGCACAAACTGGACCTATACATGCACTAAGTGGAGAGATGTCAGAGTGGGCTGCCCATGACAGGCGCTCTGAGCGGTTGGGGGGTTCGGTGCCTTGCTCAGGGACACCTCGGCAGTGCCCAGGAGGTGAACTGGCACCTCTCCATCTACCAGTCCACGCTCCATATTTTTGGTCCGGACGGGGACTTGAACAGGCGACCCTCCGGTTCCCAACCCAAGTCCCTATGGACTGAGCTACTGCCGCCCCAATGGACTTGTTCATAAAAGTAAAGAACAGTCCCTCCATAAGTAAAGAACAGTCCCTCAATAAGTAAAGAACAGTCCCTTAAGTGCGGTGAGGTTTGTTGACCATTATCTGCCACAAAGAGAGAAAAGCGATCAGCTCGTTTCTCCTCTGACACGTCACATACCTGTGTGCCGCCACGGCTCAGCTGCTCAGGTACTTCTGGGCAGTCAGGACACCAACGAAGAGGAAATTAGTGGACCTGGAGCCGGGCTTCTCTGTCGCCGGTAAGCCGTTATCTTGCGTGGCCATAGCACTCCGCCATATTCCTGTCTGTGACCCCCGTTCAACTCACAACTGGCAGGATTCGCCTTTCGTTTCTGCTGCTGGATGAAATCTGTGCTCGCACAGCGTGCTCCTGAATGATTTATTTTGCTGGCACAAAACTATTTTTAGTTGCAAGTGCGAGTAAAATGCTTGCACAGTAGAGCTCTGTGGAAAATGAATCACTGTAGCATATATAAACAAATCTAGCCTACAAGTAAAAAGAAATAAATAATAACTTTCACTGATTAAAGATACTCAATAGCTCAGCTAATACCTGAAATGTCACTGGAAAACAAACCACTGCAGCAGCATATTGAGTGCCAGGTGGCCAGCGCGCGCCATTATTGGACGGCGCATGGACACTCACCCTCTTTCAGATTGGACTTTGAACTTATCCCATTGTAGTGGTACCGTGAGGTACCATAGTACTACGGTACTCCAATATTATGGTATCATACCGTGGAGTTTCAGTACCACGGTCTACCGTTGGTACCAGTATACCCTAAAACACTACTATCATGTCATCAAAATAAACCACACTGATATGGAACTGCGCGCCCCAGATCAGACTGGAGATGTAACCACTTAAAAGATGGGTGAGCCTACTTGCTATCTTCCTACGTATTTAACCTTACTTTTAAAACAGAAAATACAGTGCACCGTGTCGCCTGCAGCCAGTTCGGACACCTCTTTTGTTGTTTTCATATCCAAAATGTTGCTATACTGATACAGTTTTAATTTTCTTGGAAGACTAACTCTGCAGTGACTCCTCTTGTCACCCCAAAAAAACAAATGAACGTTCTAGTAAACACAGCGTGTGTAGCTCAGCCCCTCCCACTTCTGCTGAAATTTGATCCCCTCCATGTTGCCTGCTTGGCTCACGGCCTGTCCTACACTGTTGATTCTGTTAGTCTGTTCGTAAAAATATTATGTTCATCACTTTGTCATGTTCCTGATTACTAGTGCAGTAGAAGTTAGAATAGAAGTTCTGTGATGCCGTCAGCAGAGGCTGCTGATGTAGGCTACCTATAAATTTACCAGAACATGCCATAATGACAAATGTTGGTTCACTGGGTTTGCATTAAATCAAACTGGTTTAAGCTTGTACACTGGAATGGGCTGGCAAAACCAGAAACCGCCTTTTAGCTCAATATGCTACAAAAATGGCGAACAGTTCTCGTCACCGGCTAGCCAGGGCTCGAGACTAACAGCATCCCCTCATCCTGGTGAAGATAAAAAATGTGTTTAAATGAACACAGATCTTCCCCAGATCACTTGGACATTGTGGAGCAGAGTTCTGCGGTGTGGTTGAGGAGCTAACTGCCAACTTTGCAAACAAAACGGGATCATGTCCTGCACAAGATATGATTTTTTTAAGGTAAGGAAATGGCGGTTTCCAGTTAAAAATAGTTTTTCAACACAGCAAGGCCCCTGCACAGTAAAACATTATCAGGTAGCTGTTGATTGAATACTGTATCAGTGTGTGGCACAATCACATTATCACAATGTAGCATTATTAAGAAAAAAACACGGTGTGTCCCCTGGAGTGTAGGGGTGAGTCTGTGTACATGTGTAAACGTGTACACGTGTTTGAAATCATAAACGGTTATGAAAAATTAGTACACGAAAAACCTTTTTTTTTTTTTTTTAGGGGGGGGGGGGGTGATGCTAATTGTTGACCAACTGTGATAGACTGTGAATATGACAAGAAATGGTTTGAGACCGGGTTTGGCAACAGGTAAGTAGCCTACGTGCTCCGTTCTATTAAAACGACACGTTCGTTAAGGGGGTCGTTCGCCAGTGGGCTACAGTGAGTACCGGGCCATCAAGTCACAGCATCTGCAGTGAGAGGACACGGAATTGTTTGCGCTTTTACGCACGGGCTGGTGGTGAAGTGGCGTACATGACTTGTGCTACGGACGGACAGACGGATAATAATAAAAAGTTAGTGTGGACCTATATGCCATGCTTTTTTAATAAAATTACCAGAGGAGTTCGCTGAAAAACAGGTAATGTTAGCCTGAATTACTCGTGTGCGTCCCCGGTGAAAATCGCTGACATGGGGAATACAGCTTCTACTGGCTCGCCATAGCTTACTGTCAGGACTCAGGGACCAGAATTCGGGATGGTGGACTGTCGGAATGACAATATTTCGGAGTGGCGGCCTGTAACCGTTGGTTAAATGGCCTGTTCAGTTGGTATTCGGATAACTGGGGCTTTACTAGTATAATGCAATAGCACCACCCAGCAGTGAAACCCGTTGACACGAAAAAAATGACCCATTCTAAACACTGAGAGATTTTTGTACACAAACTCACCCCTGCTGGAGTGTAAAGCATCATCAGGTCATCATCGACATGAGTCGTAGGCTTTACTGTATCTGCTATCACAGATGTTGTGAGGTAAGATAACAGGGATGTCTGTTTTAATATCCCACATATTTGTGAATGCAGGTTCATTTTGTGAACCTAAAATATAGGATTATTGTCTGCTGGGTGTCCTTGGAAGGCAGTGCAGAGAGCATTGGAGATGTGTGGATGAGAGGAGGTGGCCAGGCCAAGTGTCAGGTCTGTGCAAAGCTCTGGAATGAAAACAATGACACATCAGACTGTTATAATAACGGTTTCACTCTGGTTTCTTTGACATGAAAAGTACTTTCACAATAACTGGTTTACAAAGACAGTTTTATTCTGTCATTGTTTTCATTCATTTATTGACGTGTCACTGTCAGGGAAGGCTGTGTCAAGTTGTGTTAAATTGTCTTCTATGTAAGCTGTTTTCATGAAAGTTTATGTTTGGCCATCACAAATGTACTCTGGCCACCAAATTTAGGGGCTTGGTACTGGCCTAATGGGCTAGTGCTTAAAAATATTAGCATCTATCCATGGACCCTCCAAACTGAGCAGCAACGCCAACACAACATCTTCGTTTTACACACAGGTCTCCCTCTCTCTCTCTCTTGCTGTAACTTTTGAAGTTGACCACAAACCCACAGGCCGTTCCTCCAGCTCAGCCCATTCATCTGCACTCGCCATAGAATGAACATAACCTCTCTGTGTTCCAGTAAAAACAGAGAAACTAATTCATATCTCTGTCCACAGGCCTCCCTAGTACCATGCACATCCCCAGTGGCCCACCCCAGTTCTCCGGCATGGAGGAGATGGGTGTCGGCTCCAATCGAGCCAAACGCTACTCATCCCAACGTCAGAGAGCCGTACCTGAGCCAGCACCACCGATGCACCTGGGAGTGATGGAGGGACACTACTATGAACCCAGTAAGATGATAATGTGACATAAGATAACACACTGGAAATCAGCTGCAGATGGATCAGTGAGCAGTATTTTAGTTGCAGCTCACGCGGATTAAAAAAATGTTAGAAGTGTTAAATGTTAAAAAAGTTGAAGCATCAGGAAGTGACCGTCTATATATGGCTGTATAGGGCATTTTGTATTTTAAAAAATATATACATTTGCAGTTTTTTCTACTGGTGGGATATGAAGAAAATAAATGTATCAAAAAAAAATAAAGTAAGCACTTAATGCAATAATTTTCTTATGTAACTTAAATCAATACCCAAACTATCAGCTGTTGAAAATCTGAGCTTAAGATAAACTGAAGCTTTTGTGTTTTTGTTGAAATGTGTTAAGGAAAAGCATCAAAAGCGAGAAGGCACAACAGACTCAAATTACTCAGTCAGTGTAGACCTTCCTCCTGCTCACCAGGAGAGGGCAGTAAAGGTCAAGCATGACTGTGTCATAAATGTTACAACATTTGTTGGTATAGAATAGATTTTCCAGAAACTCTTTAGGCTAAAAAATAATGATTTTGTGATCAGTGCAGCTGCACAACAGCAGGAAAAATGCAGCTATGTTGGTTATGATTTTCTCACAAATCTGCAGTAATAAATCAAAATTTGATCGCTTGTATAGCTCCTCAGATTCATTAGGTCATTACGAAGTCATGGAAAAGATGCAATTATCATACAATACATGGTATTATTTATTCATGTATTCACTGACTCCTGCTAAAAGCCACTTTAGAAGAATTCTACAAATCACCCTCCTTCAGTCCCAATTTAACTGTGATTTAAGTATGGATCCTTTAGACGTTTGATTAATACAGACCCTGATCAGTGACGGTATTTGGATCAGTGGAGTATTTAGATCTTTTACTGACTTCAAAGTAGCAGCAAAATATTCTTCCAAGTAAAAGTCTTGCACTCAGAATGGCTCAGTAATGTATAAGCAGCAGTGTAATGTTGTGGGGTTGATTTTAGCCTCCTTATTTTCTTTTTTAGTAAGACTGCATTTTACAGGCTGGTCATGATCACTGTGTTTAACCTCCCTCTGTCCCACAGTGTCGTACCAGGGACCAATCTACGGGGACGGCCCCGCCCCCATCCCGCCACAGGGCATGCTGGTCCAGCCTGAGATGCACATCCCCCATCCTGGTCAGTGAAGTTTGTTTCCATCTCTTGTTTTTAAGGACGACGTTGTAGATTTTTACTTCTCACTCATCCCTCTGCCTCTTCCTCAGGTCTCCATCCCCATCAGTCAGGCGGCCCGATCGCTAACCCCGCCCTCTACGGTGGCCCAACTGTTTCTCTGTCTCCGGGGCAACCACAGCAGCTGCTGCCACCGCCTTTCTACCCTCCACCGGGGGTCATGACCTTTCCTTACCCCACCATGTACCCAAGTCCACAGGTAGACACCTTTTTAACTGTGCGAAAGAGGGCTGAAGAGCTAGCTCCACCCCTGTCGCTCTGATCATTTAAACCATTATAATCCACATAATACAGACTTTAGGTTGTGTGTGTGCACTGGGTATCCAGTAATATTTTAGTCCCTAAATTAGTTTTTAGTTGTTGTTTTTTTTTTTTTTTTTTTTTTTTTTTTAAACAGTTTTTCCTGTTAAATGATTGTGGTATGAAAGGTTTACTGTATACCAGGAATGGGTGATGATATCTCTATATACATCACAGTAAGATAGTTCTTTATGATTCAGGTGTTGCAGCAGTACAAAGACAGAAATAAGTGAAAATAAACAAAAGGCAGAATCCATTAAAGAGCAAATAGAATCAATATTAGTTGGCAAAGTACACAAACAGGACCCATGGCCAGAGTGTAGTATATAAGGGTACACCAATAATATATAATATAAGGGGGAATGTGTTGATAAAGTATATATAACGTAATTTACAGTAAGATAAAGCAATAAATCACAGAATATAAAATATGAGGTCTAGTACGAGCATAGCATAGAATACTGTAATACTTCAACTATAAGCTGAGTCTCAATTAGATGCTCAGTCCCTTTTACTAGCTGGGTGTGGCTACAAATTTTAAATTCAGTTCTCAGTTAAATACCGGGTCTGTTTGGAAGTTCATTTTTAGTTTTTAGTTTTTTTTTGGATGTATAAAACCTCTCCAAGCCCATGGAGTTGTTGACTTCCCGCTTGAACTAACGTCAACTGCTTAGATTGTGCATGTAAACAAGAGAGGGCAAAAAAAAGATGACTCCCTTTCTCTGTAGCCGTCAGAAAGTCTGAACGTCCATTCCTACATTTTCCATATTCCTTCAGACCATAAGAGTCCACCAATCAAAAGGTTTTTTTTTTATCAAAATGAATCATAGTTGTGAATATTGTTTTAACAGGTTGAAGTGGTGTTTTGTCAAATGTGCCAGGTGCCATAATTTTGAATTTTTATGAATCATTAAATTGGGAAGCAGAAGTTTTTATAATGGAAATATGAATCATGCTATTACAATAAGCTTCCACTGATGATTGATCAAATGTATAGAATAATAAATATACTTTGACATTTTTGTGGTTTATTTAATACAGGTATTTTTCACATTAACAGAAATTCTTGAATTTTGGTCATTATAAATTCAGTGTCCGTTGGATAATAAAGTTGAATGGAATTTGAATTTCAATGTTTCTCTCTGTGCCACAGGGCCAGGCCCAGGTGACCTACGGAGGTGTGACATACTACGACACGATGCAGCAGCAAGCTCAGCCCAAGCCTTCACCTCCCCGCCGCACATCCCAGCCCGTCACTGTCAAGCCCCCCCCTCCGGAGCTGCACTTTGCCTCAGAGTGACCCGCCCCCCCTCACCCCTCCCCGCCATCCAGTCTCAGCCTCACTCTGATCCGAAAACTACAGGTGGGCACGCCACTTCTTCATCTGTTTATTGTGATCTTTATACCTCTGCTCTGCTACATCTCAGATGGAAATATTGTCCTTTCCTCATCTTATCTTAGCATCAGTCACTTTTCAAATTCAACTACATGCAGGTTTTTCTTTTTTATCTGTGTGTAGGAGTGGGATGGGAGGGTCAGTGAGGAGCTGCGGTCCACAATGGCAACCACCAACATTATCCAGAGAGGAAGGGACAGATGGATGGAGGTGAAGTCGGACTCTGCAGGTGATCCACGGCATCACTGGTGGAATATGACTTTTTCTTTATAGTTTCACCTTTTGTTTTCGACCCTGTAGCAGTGAGGCGACATGTCATAAGTCAGACTGTTCTGTAACTCTGCAGTCGCAGGTTTGATCCCACCAACGTGTCTTTGAGCAACAACAAATCTGAACCTGGAAATGTACTAACATCTGCCTGTCGGACTGATGAGCTCAAACCCTTTAGAAGCATTTAACGTCACGCAGAGTTGGATGGATGAAGTCAAACTCTCAACGTTGGGATCAGAGTTGTCAGTGTTGAATTTTTTCTTTTTTTTTTTTTTTTTTTTTTTTACAGTGAAGTTTGCTGTTTCAGCAGGATTGGGACTGAACCCTAAAAACAGCAGTGAACAGGCAATATAAACGGTTTCTTTGTTATTCCATTATCAGCTCATCGGTTTACTTTACACTATACTTCAGCTAGTGTTTTGTCCTAATAGGAAACAGGAAGTAGTTTGTCATTTTCCATCATTGTTACTACAAAAAGTTCAAACAAGATTAAAAAAAAACAGAAGCTAACTAAAAATAAAACAGAATTTATGAGCAATTCGGGGGATGTTTGTGAGAAATGGTTATGTATATAGTTTGAATGCAGCTCTCAGTGTCATGTCACAGCTAGCACGGTGCTTCCTGAAAACCTCCAGATGTTACCGTCATGTTACAGCTGGCTGGAGTTTGTTAGTTTTGGATGTTTTTCCCCTCCACACAGACAGACAGACAGACGGTTCTTGCACTTGAAGATCTCTGCATTTGTTACTGTGACTGTCTTTTAAATGGGAAACATAGATTCAGAAATCTGCGTAGCTGCACGTCATCTTCAGTCTAATTTATGCTCGATCACTCTGCACCCTGTCAGGCTGCAACTTTAGTCGACAAAACCCCAAATATTTGATGTAAATGTTAAATCAGTTGTTACAATTCTTGTTAGTTAATTTTCTTTTGATCTTGAGACTCTAACTGCAACTCATTAACTTTTTTTTTCATAATGTCATAGACAGTAAAGAGAACAGAAAAGAGGCATGCTGTCATTTCTCCTCCTAAAAAACCCACACAATCACAGAAATGTATGTCTGTAGATTAAGTCTGGGCAACGTAGATGAAAATCTCAATTTTCCAAGCTTTTAATACATTTTTTCCTGAAACGAGACTAAAATATGATTAAAACATCAGATATTCTATGACTTTGTGACTGCAAGCATATTTAAAAAAAAATAAAATACAGGTTATCCCAAACACTGTTAGCACCACCACACTGTTAAACACTTTAAATAGAGCAGTGACGTGTAGATCAGTGATCACTGTCAGCACAGACAGAGCAGAGAAGTCTGCTCCTTTACTCATCTGCAGTTTGAATTTCTTGACATCAGTCTGACATCTGCAGTTAGCTGCTAGCGTTAGCTCCCCAGCAGGTCGACACACTGAACAAAGTAGAATCTGCATACTGATCAAGTCTGTTGTTGTAAACAGAGATAATTCCTCATCAATAAACAGAGCACAGATCAGTGTCAGAGTCTCATTGCAGTTTGTCCTCTTGGAGATTTGACTATTAGATTTACTGCAAGTTAAACAGCTGCACACCTGGAGTCATAACTGGCAGGTAAACTGCAGCAGGTGTTCATGCAGTTTGAGCAAATGGTGTGTTTACACAGGACTGCTGTAACTCCAGACGGACTCCAGACGGCTCATGTAGCAGCTGTCATTGACGTTACTTGTTAAAATAACCTTTTTGTGCACAGTGTAATAATTCAGTGTACATGATGGAAACAGTGTACACATCGTGCTAAAAAAAATATTCAAATTAATCTGATTGATTAGATCCATCACCCAGCCCAGGGACGTTGCTTTCTTTTTATGTTTCTTTATGGTGAGTGCTGCTATGGTAACAGCCCATCCAATCACACTCTGTGATAGACTTTGACATAACTGATTTGACAGTTAGGCCAATGCTGCGTTCACATGAAATCAAGGAAAGCATGACAATGAATTTAGGAGAGGCCAGTAGGGAATACCAGTAATTGTAGACAGCATTGCTGCTAAAATATTTGAATTTTTTCAGCCCTCCAGGACTGAATTTACAACTGAATGTTGCATATTTTTTCACACAAGGTGAAAACAATTAATTAATGAACATTACCAAATAAATGCATGAAATAATAAACACAAAATAATTTGATTTAATTCTTTGTAAATAATACAGTACCGGCATTAAGTTGCACGTTTTGTTTGTTCTTCCTGTTGCGTCCAAAAGATGTTGTCCGTCTGCCGCCTGCCTGATTCCATGTGAACACAGCGTGAGTCAAACGATACAAACAAAATAAACTAACAGAAGACGTAATGTGATTATAAAATTAAACATTAAAGGAATACTTCACCCACAAAATTACCATTTATATATCAGTTATTCATGTTGTGTTAACTTCAGTTTGTTGATAAAATGTGTTTTTCTCGCATGCCTCCGGTGAACTAAGAATCCAAAAACAGGACTATAAGTGAAACTTATCTAAGCTTTCATTTTTAGTCCCAGTCAGAGAGAACTGAAGGAGAGGCAGTGCAGCATGTTTTGGACATACTGAGCATAGACTTGGATTATACTGCACGAGTTGTGTCAGAGTTTGTAAACAGATGTTTTACTTTAGTTTTGCCGTTGTTAAATGTGCTCCCTTCAATTAATGCACAATATTTGCAGTTTTTGGATTCTTCATTTTTCTTGCATGCCTCAAATGAAAGAAGTCTTCCTCACAAATTGAAGTTGACATGCCGTGAATAGTTGATATATAAGAGGTCATTTTGTTGGTGAAGAACTCATTTAAAATATAAAATCAGTGTATTGGCCCTTTAAATCCCGTTCATCTGCTCACCCGAATGCACTTTTTGTTTATTTTCCGACAGCAGCTTTTTACTTTTGCAGAAAGTGAAACAAAACAAAAGTTGCACAGAAGTCCGTCGGCCATCTGATATCAGCTGCTGCTGCTGGGTGGAGGCATTTCTTGTTGCTGTACATAGAAATCTAAATGTGTATATAGAAGCTTGAACAGATAAATAGAGCAGTAAACATAATCTAATGATACTACTAGTGCTACAGAACAGTCAGATCTGATTCAGAGCGCATCGGCAGGGACCTTGAATGTTAACGGTGGATATAATTTAGAGAGACGACTAAGGAGCTGTGTGGCTTTAGCTTTGATTTGTTTTGTATTCTTTTCCTTTTTGAAATGTTTAATTTTAATGATTTTTTTTTTTATTGTTAGTGAATGCAGGAGTGAAATGACGACTTCCTGCCTGATTTCTTTGTTTTCACATGTTAACAGGCAATACTGAGGAAACCACTTTATAAGACAGAAACTATTAATTCTTCGTTTGTTTGTTCTGCAACAAAAATACATTTTCAGAGATGAAAGTAAGCAAAAATAAAAGTGTATTTTTCTCTTCATTTTCCAGCAATTTATTTTACATTAAAGGATTTAGTGTTTGTGGTTTGATGTCAAATTAAACACAGATATTTAGTGCTGCCTGAACAAAATGTCAGCCTGATATATAATGAGAATTTCTAATGAACTCAGTCATGACAGAAAGCTCCTCTGCCCTGTCGGACCCCTTTGTAGTCAGGTCATTAAAGCTGTCCTGATGTTCTACTTTACGTAAATACATATGACAGTGATATTAACATGAGCACAGCTGCTGGGCCTGTAAATGAGCGCAGACAGAACTTAATTCATACTGATTGTTCTTTGATGTAGAAACGTCAAACATAAAGTGTGTGGTGTCGTTAGGAGCAACACTTTATTTACTCTGAGCTCAGCAGCAACAGGATTTATTTCATTTGCTTCAAATTTTGAACTTTAATCCTATTAAGTTTTATTTTGAACAGTATTACAACCAGTATTCTGCTTTATTGCAGCAACAACTTCCAAAATCTTGAGCAGCTGCTTTGATTTAAAAAAAAAAAAAAAAACGTACTAAAAGGTGAGATGATAAAAATAAATCACTTCCCAAGCAGGAGACAGTATTTGTTCCAGAGCTTTTTGTTTTCCGCAGATCGTCTCAGTTTTCTTGTTTCATGTGGGATGAGAGCTTGAAGACGGTCGTGTTTCGGGGGTGAGGTGTGGCGATGGTGTCCTCCCAGTTCCACACATTGGATCCCTCCGGCCCGCCTTACTAAAAGGTGAAACCCGTTTGTGATGACAGCTTTGAATTAATTTATCAGTAGGTTTCTATAAATGTTATTGATGTAGAAACATTTAGAAGATGACTCATTCTGGTCTAACTTTCTTCTTTGAATGATGTTAATGTCTGAGTCGAGAGTCGTTGGACTCTGCTGCCCAGTTTGACTTCTCTGTTGACTGTTTGACCCGAGCTGACCAGACTGTTCACTGTGACGGCAGGGTTTGTTTGTTTCAATCTTATGATGATGATAATTGCAACAATGGTTTAGTTTCTGTTTGTATGTGGAGAATGTTGTCGTCCACACAGAGGATCAATAAAGAAAATAAAACTCTTAATGTCTGTCTGTCCCTTTCTCTCCTTTTTATTCTTTCTCTCTCTTTGCCTTTCTTTCTCTTTTCTTTCTCTTTGTGTTTTGTCTTTCTTTTCTATCATTTTCTTTTTTTTGTCTGTCTCATTTTCTCTTTTCTCTCCTTGCCTTTGTCTCTTACATTCTTTCTGTCACTCTATTTCTTTCTCTTTTTCCCTTTTCTCTCTTCCTTTCTCCCTTTCTTTGTCTGTATCTCTTTCTCGATTTTTTCCCCTCTCCCTTACTACTTGTTTCTCTACCTGTTCTCTTTTTCTCTCCATCTTTCTTCCCCTCTGCTTTTCTTTTTATTTTCGTTCTTTCTCTCCTTTCTTTCCTAATTATCTTCTCATTGAAATCTACTTTATTCGTTCTATGCATATACATGTTTTCTTTCACCCTTTCTCTTGATCATTCTTTCTCATTCTTTCTCTCTCATTTCTTTTTGTCTTCCTCTCTTTGCCCTTTCCCTTTCTTTCTCTTTTATTCTGTTTCTATCGCTTTCTTTCTCTCCGTCATGCTATTTATTTACTCATTAAAGGCTACTAATTCATTGTAACCTCCTTCTCTTTCTCTCTCTCTTGCACACACACACACACCTGCTCTGACCGTTAACATGAATATTCATAACCTGGAGGGGGAGGGGAGCCATTATGTAAACTCTGATTGACAGGCTCTGACAGCCAATCAGAGTGCAGACAGTGTCTCCATCTCATGAATATTCAGCAGCAGCTGCACAACACAAAGGGAGACTCAGCTGTTAAAGGACCAGACCGCTCATTCTGTCTCACTTTAACCCTTTAACTGCCTGAACCCTCTGTGATGATGTTGTTACAAACTCATGGAGCTTCATTCAAACACTGAGAACTCTGTTTAACGTGCATTTTGTACGACATCCTTTAACTCCTTTATTGTAGTGGGGGGTGGCTTATTGGTCCATGGCTGTAACCATGGCGATGAGCTCATGATGAGGACTTTGACAGCTGAGTGTGGATGATGATGTAACTGTTGGTTTCAGAACATGAAGTGGACTGATGTGGAGCCCCCTGCCGTCTGATTGGCTCATTATCGATGATGTAAGAGCCACTTGACCACTCGTACGTCAGTGTTTCTCTCTTTCTCTGTCACACACTCACTCACACAAAATTTCTTTATCTTTGTCTTTATCCATTTCTGTCTGTCATTTATCTGTCTTTCTTCCCCTCTTTTTAGCTCCATCTCTTTTTCATGTTTGCCTTCCCTACTTTTTAGATTTCTTTTGTCCTCATTTCCTTCCTTTCTTCTGTCTATCTTTATGCAATATTTTCTTTCATATCTCCATGCCAGCAAACCGTGGCCAGAGATGTAATGTTCTCAGATTGTCAGTCTTCTGTAAGTGAAGACAGTTTGTCGCTGGAATCATACATGTCAATATAGGGATAACTTCCATTGCGCCAAAAATTACACTTAATGTGTTTTATTAAATTCAAAGTCTTGACTGCATACCATATGTGGGTCTGGACAGACATGAATGTAAATTGCAACTTGACTCATTAGCGGAAGAATATTACCACAAGGCAGAAGTTCCAGTTGTCTTTTATCCTTTTTTTTAATTGTGTGATTTTTAAAAGTTCTTTCTCACTTTTTCTTTCATCCTTTTTTCCCTCAACTGTTTCTCAGTTTTCCTCTTTCTTTCCCTCTGTTGACAACCTTTATTCCTGTTTACCAGTTTCTCTTTCTTTCTTTCTTAACCGTAATATTTCCTTCCTTTTTCCACCCATATTTCTTAATATCTGATTACTTTAGGTTTTTTTTTATTTCTTCTCTCCCTTTCTGTCAGTCCTATCTTTCTGTCTTTATATTATCTCTTTTCCTCCCTTTATTAATTTCATTCTTGTCTTTTTCTTTCATTCCTTCCTTTCTTCTCTGTCTTTATATTTTCTGCCTTTTCTTTCTTTTTACATCAGTCCTCATATCACCTTTACTGCTCTCTGTTCTTTCCCTCTCTTTCTTTGGTAACCTGTCCAGGTTTCAGTCTTCTTCTTGTATTTATGAAACAAATTTGCTGATGTTTTGGGATCCAGCAGGACAAATGTGATGTTTGTATTTATGATCATAACCCTTAAAGCTATACTATGCATGAATTTTTTTTCAAATCAATGTATAGACTGATACAGAAGTAATCCCTCTCAGTCATCACTGATGACCCACTACAAGTGTGTGGTGGTGTGTATATCTGCAGAGATTCGACCTCTGCTTGTATTTTCCTCTTATTTTGCTGTGTTTGAGATGTTTATGTTCACAGCCAGCAGGGGGCCTGTATCACGAAGCGAGATCAACCTTTCCTGGGTTACCCAGACCTATCCTGGGTTGACTAACCCTAACAATGGCAATCAGGATAATCGGTATCACGACGCTGGATATCAACTTGGTAACTCAACCCAGGGTTGCTTTATCAAGAGCCGTGAACGCGCACGCAGCGGACCAATCACAATCATAAGAGAAGCGCAGCGTCACTGAGCGTCCTCACAGAGCGCCGTATATGAGGAAAAACAAAGTATTTCTCATGAGGATCAGAGATTAATTCTACTAAAATATGAGGAGGAGAAAAGCAACATTACAGAAAAGGCCAACACCGTGGCAGCTGCAGGAGGAGGAAATATGTGTGGCAACACATAATGGGATGAATAATGTTTAGTTTTAGTTTAGATTAGTTTATTTGCACATCATGTTAAAAACAGACAGTATAACATTTACAAGATTAAAAAAAGAAAAGTGCCGGAGAGGTTGGAAGCCACTAAAAGCTTATCAAAGAAATTCCCCTGTCAAAACATCAATGAAATCACATGATAGAGAAGAAAAAAAAACGGGTGAGGAAAGAAGAAATAGAGGAGGAGAGAGGGAAAAATCAAGACAAAACAAGGTAGCAAATAAAATGATGTGTAGTTTAAATTACTCATCACTGGTTCAAGTAGCTACAGTACCTGTACCTGTACATCTGACACTGATCCCTTGAATCCCATGAAATCAATGCTGCGCAGATGAATTGCAAGTATTACAATTATCGTCTAACATCATTGCGTCTGATAAATTGGTCTTCTTTGTCATAACGTTATATATGCTACAATAAAGCTTAAAGCTGACGCCACAATTAAATCATATCAACACCAAATTGATAGTCTGAATAAAATCATCCTGATATTGAGCTGTGTTAGAAATTAACAGCTGCGCAAAAATATACCTAGTCTCCCGCTTTATAAAACAAAAAGGAAAATCCCTCAAACACCATGAAGTGTAGACATGATAGGCTACTTTCCACATTTCCAGCAGCAAAGCTGTCAATTAGGCCCATTATCTTTAACAGGGATCATTTCCTCCAACAACAAAAAACGTTGGCACTAATTAATGGTGCTATTACGTGTCCGCAAATGATCAGTTTCTTTCTTATGAATGGGTAGGATGAAATTTCGACTTCTTTCCACTCCTTTGTGAACAATATTTTCATTGTCTGCTGTTGTTGCTTTCTTTTCTTTTTTAATGTTCAAAATAAACTTTCAAATCAAAATCAATCAAAGTAATTAAACTTCGTCATGACTGGGCTGCATTTCTGTCAGCGGAGTCATTTTTTTCCGAACAGCTGATTGGCCAGTGGGTGGTGCTTTTTATAGGATTAGATGTAACCCTGAACTTACCCTGCTCCGGAGCAGGATAGCCGTTCAGAGTAAGTTACCATAGTGATCTACCCCGATAAGAACTGAACCGGCTTCGTGAGACCGAAAACCCAGGGTTAACCCTGAAGTTACCTCGCTGAGACATTAATCCTGCTTCGTGATACAGGCCCCAGGTGAGGTTGGGACTTTATAAAAAGGTGGCATCCAGTTGCCAGAATGTAAGCAGCATGCATCCAAGAGGAAGCCACGAACATCACAGACACATCTCCAAAAATAGGCAAATATAGTGAATCTGTGGTTAGCTTTGACTTTAGCTGGTAATATTGTGTTCAAACTGTGACCGACAAGTCCTGTGTAGAATATAGCTATTTCAAGAAATAGAAAATCAGTTAGTGATGACAGCTGCCACCATTTACATCACCTGCTACCAGATCAGCCAATAGCAGACTTCAATTTCAGTAGCCATGTTTTAACCTGTGGAGGGCAGTCGCTATGCATGTTTATAACATTAAGAATTCAAATACTTTGCACCAAAATGTCAACACTTTGACCGCAATCCATCTATAACACCACTAAATACCCATTTACATTGGCGTGGATGGATTACTGAATGGGAATACTGGGCGCAGGCCCAGGTGCCCAAAGTGTCAGGGGCCCCATGGCCTTCACCTGCAAAATGTCATCCAAATTAGCACGTACCGACCAAGGCTATTCAGCAAGAGATGGGATACACATTTTGATCCCATGGGATCGATGAGGTATGACACGTGCAATTTAATCGGAGACAGAAAGCTTTTGTTTATGATCTTTTATCAAGTCCCTTCTAGTAATTGTAATTCTCACTCATATCTTTATTTTTCATGTAACAAATTGCGTATCAAGGCCGACTGCGTACACCTTAGTGAACCACATCAGTCACCCCCAGGCTCTATGATAGTGGGCCAGCTATTAAGCCTTTCAGCAAGTGCAAACCAGATTTTACTGCACGTGTCTGATCCCCAAATATGTGACGTAATATAACGCTGTGACTTCTCCTATTTTCAACCTCCTTGGTACCAGCTAGAAAGAGACTCAAAATGACCACCAAGAGATGCAAAGGAACTGCAAGGAGACACAGAATAACTACAAAAACAAGCAAAACAACCCCAATGAGACACAATATGACTACAAGGCAACACAAAATGACCATAAAAGATACAAAATTACCTCAATGAGAAACAAAATGAACACGAAGAGACACAAAACTGTAAAAAGATGCATGACGACTACAAAGAGATGCAAAACCAGCACAAAGTCTGTGTGTATTGCTGCTATGTGGTGTGGCCCTTTGCATATCTGTGCC